GTGCTCGCTACCATAACGTCTTTCCACTGCACCCATTAACGCATCGTAACTGTTCCTTTCACAGTCGGGAATAGTCTGCAAGATTTCTGCCGCAGGTCCTTTCAATGCAACGAATAGTGCAGCGGATTTATCCTCCATGCTCCAATGATTTGCTGCAGCCGTTTTTTCGAACCGGAGCTTAAAGACCTGGAAAGGAATCGTGCCGTCAAAGGATGGGGTTTTTACCTTGGGTGCGCTCGTCGAAGTAGCTGGACGATTCAACTGTAAATCACGAAGACGACCTTCCAACTCCTCTACCTTTGTCTCGACTTTCTCCTGTCTCTCTTCGATTTTGTCCTGTATTTGTGTAATTTTTGCATCCTGTGCTTCCAGCTGGGATGATATACGTGTCTCTTGTGCCAGTAGCTGAGCTTCTAGCCGGGATGACACCTGCGCTGATACCTCTGAAGATATACGTGTTGTAGAATATTGTTTCCTTTTTTTCAATAAATAAATCGACACAATTTAATTTTTAATATTCAATTTCAATGTTTATTTCGATCTCTTTTTATTTCGACCCGACACCGCTGAAAATGAAAACTGAACTGAAGCATCATAACCGAAAATATTTAATTAGTAGTAAATGAATGCCGGTAGAATATGTACATATGTATACATGAATAGTTACATAAGTATTTATATAACACCTTGCCTACTATGATTGATTTTGAATAAGCCATCTCGCTTTATTATGTGTAGAAAATTATTTCTTGTTTCTTTTGTTTGTCACTGCAACCAACACACATACATATTCACCATCTACATATCATACCCGTATGCTGCAGCTTATATTATATGTGTAAATGCAAGCAGCATTTACTCTGAGTAAATTACTCATCTTATTCTAACGGAACATAAGAATGATACATTAGGCTGGTCCTATTTGTAAAGTAGGTATGCAAATATGAGTGTTCGTTACAGTGACTTCAACACACCTCCTCAAAATAAACAAGAAAATAATTATCAAGAAATACAATATACATACATAAGCAAGATTACACAAATATAAATATATTATTTACCTATATCTTAAATTGGTGCCAGGTCGAGTATTCTGGGGAATGTTACAATTGTGGTCCAACATTTGTTGCATGGATTGGGGAAACCCAGTAAAACCCAATCAGACCAACTTCATTAAAGTCTAATGTACTTTATATGTACTTCATTAAAAAAAAATTCAAAGTTAAATGAAGTATAATATAATGAAACATATTATAATGAAATTAAATAAATTGTTAAGTACCTATTTAATAAAGTAAAAATTAAGTTTTTTTTAAAAATTGTTTAAATTAACCCAAGTTGATCCCTTAGCTCGGCAAATCGTGGTCCAGGTAATGGTTTTGTCAAGATATCAGCCAGTTGTTTATCTGTAGGAATATACTCAAGAATAATTAGTTTTCTTTCAATTTGTTCTCTAGAAAAATGGTATTTAATTTCTATATGTTTAGTTCTTTTATGACATGTAGGATTATTAGCAATGCTAATACATCCCTGATTGTCTTCAAATATGTTTATGGGTTCCTGTAAATTTAATTTAATACTATTTGCCAATGATTTTAGCCACATAGCCTCTCTAGTGGCCTCAAATAACGCCATATATTCAGCTTCAGTCGATGAAGCCGCGACTGAGCTTTGCTTTTTCGTATTCCAACAAATAAGAGATGAGTCGAACATTTTGAATAAATAACCTGTGGTGCTCTTTCTATCGTTTTCATTTCCTGCCCAATCTGAATCAACATATCCAGTGAAAATATTTTCAGAATCTACAGTTTTTGTAAATGTCAACTTTAGATTAATTGTACCTTTTAGGTACCTCAAAACCCTTTTAAGACATTGCCATAGTTCTTTATTATTCTTATTTGTGTATCTACTTAAAACTCCAACTGACGTACTCAAGTCGGGCCTCGTACATAACATTATATACATTAGGCACCCAATTACATTTCGACATGGCGCGTTATAATTTTCATCTGAATTTAAATCCTCAAAGTTCAATTTACTTGGAAGTGGAGTACTTACTGGATTACAACCATCCATACCAAATTTTTCTAGGACTTTATTAATATAAGCCGACTGACTAAGTTCTATTTTATTTTCTTGTCTACTAACTTTTATGCCAATAAAATATTTGATTTCGGCCAAATCCGTCATTCTGAATTTACACATTAAATAGTCTTTAAAGCTTGACATCGTTTCTAAATTATGAGTTGCTATAACCAAATCATCGACATATAGTAATAAATATATATTTCTCTTCACTTCACCTTTATCCAATAAATAAATGCAGTGATCTACTTTTGAACTAATAAATCCAATTTCTCTCAATGTGTTCTCAAACATTTCATACCAGCATCTAGCTGCCTGTTTGAGGCCATAAATTGATTTATTCAATTTACATACCTTATCATTTTCACATGGTAACCCTTGGGGAATTTTCATATAGATTTCCTCTTTCAGGTTGCCATTTAAAAATGCGGTTTTCACATCCATATGATGAACTTTTAGGTCAAATTGATTAGAGAGAGACAAAATAAACCGAAAACTAGAAATCCTTGCTACGGGCGCAAAAGTTTCTTCATAGTCAATTAAATATTTTTGTTTAAAACCGCGCGCAACAAGCCTAGCTTTGTATTTGACAGGATCACCTAGTTCATCATTCTTGATTGTGAAAACCCATTTACAATCAATGATATTTTTATTTTTCGGACTGTCAACAATGCTCCATGTTCCATTTAGCAAATGAGAGTCTAATTCTTCTTTAATTGCTTGCTCCCATTTTGATCTATCGTCCCTTTCTTTTATTTCATCATAATTGTTGGGAATGTCAGAAAATACGGTTTGTGAGGATAGTAGGCAACTATCCAAAAATCTATAAGATCTTGGGGGTTTATCTCTCAGCCTTTCACTTCGCCTTACTTCGGCATTATCTTCCGTACTTTCTTTCGGGAAATAAGTCTCATCTTCTTCCTTACTCTCGTTCAGGATATTTGTTATGTCGTTACCATTTTGAAAATCACCCTGTTTATCTTCCTTACTCTCATTCTGGAAGTTTGTAATCTCCCTACTCTCATTCGGGCAGTCTGTAATTTCCCTACTCTCATTCGGGGCGTTACTTTCCATATTTTCGATACGTTCATGTTGTGATTCATCTTGTTGATCCATACTGTCATTCTGGATAGCCCAATCACTTTCAGGGTGTTCAATTTCCAAAATCTCAGGGCTTATCATATTTCCCTCATCTACAACAACATCTCTGGCAACAACAAATTTACTGTCCTCTAAAACCCATAGTTTAAAGCCATTTGTTTCATAACCAACAAGTATACATTTAATAGATTTATCATCGAATTTTCTTTTTCTCGTTTTGTTATGCATGTATACTGTTGATCCAAAAACTTTCAAATATTTTAAATTGGGTTTACGACTATGCCACATCTCAAAAGGAGTCTTTTTCTTGTCACAAAGGGCATTACTAGGAGTTCTGTTTATTAGATAAGTAGCTGTTAACACAGCTTCTCCCCAAAAGCATTTATCTAATTTTGTACCATTTAACATCGTCCGTGCCTTTTCAGTTATGGTCCTAATCATACGCTCAGACACCCCATTCAATTGTGGTGTATGCGGAATTGTTAAATGGTAACTTATACCCTTTTTAACACAATATTCACGCATTTCATTCGATAAATATTCCCTACCATTATCAACATACAAGTTTACTACTTTAAGATTGAAATGATTTTCGCTTTTTGCAACGAAATCTTTGAAATTAGCAAAAACATCTGATTTGTGACTTATTAAGTATGTTACACAGTAATGTGTATATTGATCAATAAAAATTACATAGTAATTTTTACCATCAATTGTAGGAGGCGTAATAGGACCACAGACATCGGAGTGTATCATAAATAAAGGCCTTTCTATATACGCCTTGTCTTTAAACTTTGAAAATGGTAATCGTGATTGTTTTCCCTTAACACAGGATTCACATATCTCATTTTCAATTATAACATTATTTAATAATTGTGTATCCTCACACATATTATTTCGCTTGAGTTCTATTAACTTTCCATTACTAATATGACCTAGCCGTTCGTGCCATAATTTATATGAACTCTTGCTAACTTGGTTTGATATATATGCTTTACAATAAACATCAAATTCAATAACAGGAATATTAATAGAGCACATACCTTTAAACAATACTTCACCGTCTTTCGTGATTTCCACACCTCCTGCCGAAAAAACAATCTCCATCCCGGCCTTTGCCATTTTGTTTACGGATAGTAAATTTTGTGGAATATTCTCGCAATACAAAACCCTTTTAAGCATGATATTTGACTGCCAGTAGTTTTTCATTTGAACCGTGCCTACAGCTGTCGCATAGATATATTCATCACTTTTAGCGATTGCTATTTTGATCGGCTGTTCCAGCTCAGTACAATTAAGTAGTAAATTCTTGTCATTTACCATATGGTCCGATGCACCCGAGTCCAAAATAAAAGATATGCGTTGCGAGTTATTATTTTTGTAGTTTGCTACACTGTTTAACATAAACGCGAAAGCGGTATTAGATTGCACAGCAGCCGTTTGCACTTGCTTAGCTTTATCTTTATTTTGACCATTCTGTTGCCGTTTAAATATAAAACAGTCTCTTTTTATATGCCCCATTTTCTTACAATGGTGACATTTTATATTTACGCGTTTTTTCGATTGAAATTTAAAATTATTTTTAAATTTGTTATTGTTATTTGATTTATATTCACTTGGTTCGCAATTTCCAACCGCTTGCAGAACTTTCAAACTTGTATCTTTATTTGCCAATTTTAATTTTATTTCGTGATCAAGTAACCGACTTTTCACAAATGCCAAGGTTAAACTTTTCTCGGATAAAGTTTCAACTGCTGTTATAATCCCATCATACGAAGAGGGAAGAGTTAGTAATAAATGCGAAACTTTGTCCATTTCATCAATTTTAGCACCCGAACCGATTAACTCCGTGATTAAGTCGTCAAACACATTAAAATGATTCATTAAATTTGTATTCGGTTTTAACTTTAATGATAATAATTGCTTTCTGACCGACAATTGAGACGCTACACTTTTCCGCTCATATATTTTGTCCAAATTTATAAAAATTTCCCTTGCAGTACACTCTGTACTAGCAAAACTTAAAAACGCATCACTTAAAAATTGAATCATAACACTTTTCGCGATTCTTTCAGCTTTTGCCCACTGTTCAGTTTCTTTTTCTGGTTTTTCATTTTCAATTACAAATAGCACATCGTTTTCTGCTAGCAAAGCTCTCATTCGAAATTTCCAGATGGAATATTTTTCCCCATCGAAGGGTTTTATGTTCTTTTTTAGTTTTTCCATCTCTTCGGAAATAACTTTTATTTTCGCAAACGAAATAAACCACAACACAAGATTTTTCTTTTCACTTTTTATTAAATTCACTTTTTTATTTGTATTTTTTCTAAACCAGACACCAGATATGATCACAGTTTGTGACTGTGCCCATAACCTGTAGAATATTGTTTCCTTTTGTTCAATAAAT